CGCATAATCGCCCCCAAACCCCACGTCTAAGATCTCTCCAAGAGGGGAGAAGGGGTGGCTTACCTCGACGGCTCGCCTAGGCTGGAGTGCATCTGTCCTCAAAGTTTCTCGCGGCTCCCCCATGAGTTGAGACCGAGAGAAAGAGTGAGGGGCTGGGCTGCGGGGGGGGGGGGGGGGGCTGCGGTAGACGGGGCCGCCCCCTCGGAAGTGGAATGGACTCGCCCCCAGTGGAATCTGGCTAATTGCACGACTTGGAGGGAGAGAGAAGGGGGAGTGAAAAAGCTCTCTGCCTCCTCTGAAGGAGGCTGGGGACACCTCTTGCCGCACCAGGGGGCAAGGTGACTCAGGTGGCACAAGGTCTGGCAAGGACGTGCCAAGAAAAAAAAGGGGGAGGGAGGGAGACAAAGACACTCCCGACTCAGATCTCCAAGATCGAAGTGGATTATTACTGTGACTATTGTATTTTTTAAAAGATGGGGTGGGAGGTAAAAAAAAAGGGGGGGGGCAGAGCAAGTCAAGGTGTCTCGGTTAAGGATAGGGCAAAGGTCTGGGCTCCAAACGTGGTCGGACAACACTGGCTGGAAGAAGACTGGTGTGAAGGGGACGATCCCAGAACCCCGAGGAGATGATTCGCTTCAACTGAAGGATGCTGTCTTGCTCGGCTTGGCTTAGAGCGCCCCAGAAGCCAAGGGATCCCCCCGATTGTGAATCATGCATGCCCTGGGAGAGGGGGGGGGCAAAGCGAGATGGGTCTTCCTTCTGTTTGGGGGGGGGGGGGGAGGGAGGGAGGCCAGAAAGCGACGGAGGGTCTCTAAACAGACCTGGCGACTTGGACCGCTTCAGTCAGAGAGGAAGGCAGCGGTTGTCTCTCTTGTCTGGCCTGATCCAGCCATCCTTCTATCCATCCTCCCAGCCCCACTGGTCTGCCAGCACTTTCCCCGCAAGCAGAGGAAAAAAGACAAACGAGGCGGTTGGGAGGGAGAGTGTGAGTCGGGAGAAAAAGTCCAATCCGCCAGACGGGTGGGAAGAGGAGGACTAGTACTCCAACCCATCTTCCCTTTCCACTCTTGGTGTGCAAAAGGCACCCATAGGTTCGGCATTGACAGACCTCCCTCCCCCCTCTCTAAATATATCTCACAACAACCCTTCATGATAGTCCTATCATGAAGTCAAGGGGCAGAGACTGAGGCTGGATCTATACTACCCTATATCCCAGGATCTATCTATCTATCTATCTATCTCTATCTATCTATCTATCTATCTATCTATCTATCTATCTCTCTATCCACAACCCTGCATGGTAGGACAGTCAAGGGGCAGACACTGAGGCTGGATCTATACTACCCTATATCCCAGGATCTATCTATCTATCTATCTATCTATCTATCTATCTATCTATCTATCTATCTATCTATCTATCTATCTCTCTATCTCTCTATCTCTCTATCTCTCTATCTCTCTATCTCTCTATCTCTCTATCTCTCTATCTCTCTATCTCTCTATCCACAACCCTGCATGGTAGGACAGTCAAGGGGCAGACACTGAGGCTGGATCTATACTACCCTATATCCCAGGATCTATCTATCTATCTATCTATCTATCTATCTATCTATCTATCTATCTATCTCTCTATCTCTCTATCTCTCTATCTCTCTATCTCTCTATCTCTCTATCTCTCTATCTCTCTATCTCTCTATCTCTCTATCTCTCTATCTCTCTATCCACAACCCTGCATGGTAGGACAGTCAAGGGGCAGACACTGAGGCTGGATCTATACTACCCTATATCCCAGGATCTATCTCTCTCTCTCTCTCTCTCTCTCTCTATCTCTCTATCCACAACCCTGCATGGTAGGACAGTCAAGGGGCAGACACTGAGGCTAGATCTATACTACCCTATATCCCAGGATCTATCTATCTAACACAACAATCCTGCATGGTAGGACAGTCAAGGGGCAGTGACTGAGGCTGGATCTACACTGCCTTATATCCCAGGAACTATCTATCTAGTATCTATCACATCAACCCTGCATGATAGGACAGTCAAGGGGCATGATAGGACTCTGCATGATAGGACAGTCAAGGGGCAGAGACTGAGGCTAGATCTATACTACCTATATCCCAGGATCTATCTATCTATCACAACAATCCTGCATGGTAGGAGAGTCGAGGGGCAGAGACTGAGGCTAGATCCACACTGCTTTATATCCCAGGATCTATCTATCTATCTATCTATCTATCTATCTATCTATCTATCTATCTATCTATCTCTCCATCCACCTTCTCACCACAACCCTTCATGGTTGGACAGTCAAGGAGCAGAGATTGAGGCTGGATCTATACTAACCTGTATCCCAGGATCTATCTATCTATCTATCTATCTATCTATCTATCTATCTATCTATCTATCTATCACAACAATCCTGCATGGTAGGAGAGTCCAGGGGCAGAGACTGAGGCTAGATCTACAGCGCCTTATATCCCAGGATCTATCTATCTGTCTATTTACCTATCTATCTATCCACCTTCTCACTACAACTCTGCATGGTAGGACAGTCAAGGGGCAGAGACTGAGGCTGGATCTATACTAACCTGTATCCCAATATCTATCTATCACAACAACCCTGCATGATAGGACAGTCAAGGAGTAGAGACTGGGGTTGGATCTATACTACCCTATATCCCAGAATCTATCCATCCATCTATCTATCTATCTATCTATCTATCTATCTATCTATCTATCTATCTATCTATCTATCTATCTATCACAACAATCCTGCATGGTAGGAGAGTGGAGGGGCAGAGACTGAGGCTAGATCTACACTGTATTGTTGAAGGTTTTCATGGCCGGAATCACTGGGATGTTGTAGGTAGTTGTAGATCTACACTTTACATCCCAGGATCATCTATCTATCTATCTATCTATCTATCTATCTATCTATCTATCTATCTATCTATCTATCTATCTATCTATCCACCTTCTCACCACAACCCTGTATGGTAGGACAGTCGAGGGGCAGAGACTGAGGCTGGGTCTACCCCGCCCTATAGGATCCGATCCCAGGTCATCTGCATGTCCCCGATTATTTGGCAGTGTAGACTCATAAATAATCCACCTCAAAGTGGACCTTCTGTAGATCCCAGCCTGAGATGTAGCTTCAGGATCTCGGCACCAGTCCAGGAATCCAGGTGAGACTCTTCTGAAAGGGGCATCCCTCACCCCCGAAATTTTCAGGTGGGATCAGTAAGTATGCATTTGCCAAGACACAAAAGTTCATCGAGGAGTGAGGATGGGCCAAAGCAGCTCTCGATTGGGTGCCCCCCCCCCAATTGATTATGTTGGGTGCACCCCCCCCCCCAAAGTGTCAGTTAATGGGTGAAGAGCCCCGTCCCCTTCAACCTAGCTACAGGTGAAGAATGCCACCCTCTCTCCAGCTCCTGCCCTGTTTTGTGTACTACATGCATGTATTTCACTGCCGAGAAGGGACTCCGCATCAAGAAAGGGGGAGGCTGGAGCGAGGAAGAGGAAATTGCCCACGTTGCTTGCAGCAGGAGAATCCCTGGCCTCCAAAGTCGCCCTCCGGCTCCTCCAGCCCCCTCAAAACCTCCTCGCCTTTGGGAATGCCCTTTTCGGTGGAAAAAGGGGCAAAGAGAATCAGTCCTTCTTGGCACCGACTCCCTTGAGGCTCTGAAAGGCTTCCAAAGGGAGTCGAGTCAGCTCAGAGAGACCCTTCCCCAAAAGCAAGAGCTTAGGCTTGGCTGCCAATCCTTTGCATCTCCCAATAATAATAATAATAATAATAATAATAATAATAATAATAATAATAATAATAATAATAATAATAATAATATCAAGGGTGATGGGATCCCCGCATCAGTGTTTCCTATCTGTCTCCCCCCTCACCCCAACCACCATTTTTTTCCAGACAGTGGCTTGGCAGACCACCTGTAAAAAAACAAACAAACCCCAAACGAAGGAGGAAAGTCATAGGTCAGGAGACCGGAGGCGGTTCAAGTGAGCAAGCCAAGGTTCACTACTGGCAGAGCAAACTCACAGGACACTTTTCTTCCAAAGGAGGGGGAAATAAAAAAGGAGGGGGAGAGAAAAGAAAGCTCCCCACTATCAAGCCCTATGAGGAGCGGCTTAAGGAGCTGGGCATGTTTAGCCTGAAGAAGAGAAGGCTGAGAGGGGATATGATAGCCATGTATAAATATGTGAGAGGAAGCCACAGGGAGGAGGGAGCAAGCTTGTTTTCTGCTTCCTTGGAGACTAGGGCGCGGAACAATGGCTTCAAACTACAAGAGAGGAGATTCCATCTGAACATGAGGAAGAACTTCCTGACTGTGAGAGCCGTTCAGCAGTGGAACTCTCTGCCCCGGAGTGTGGTGGAGGCTCCGTCTTTGGAAGCTTTTAAACAGAGGCTGGATGGCCATCTGTCAGGGGTGATTTGAATGCAATATTCCTGCTTCTTGGCAGGGGGTTGGACTGGATGGCCCATGAGGATTGTTGTGATAGATAGACAGATAGTTCCTGGGATATAGGGTAGTATAGATCTAGCCTCAGTCTCTGCCCCTTGACTGTCCTATCATGCAGGGTTGTTGTGATAGATACTAGATAGATAGATAGATAGTTCCTGGGATATAAGGCATAGATTCTATGATTCTATGATTCTAAGCCCCCCATGCCCTTGCCTATAAAGTGTCTTTTGCCTCTTTTATGCCCCAAGATATTGCTTTTGGCGCATTATTAGTCTGGCTGAGTGGGGAGGATAGGAAAAGGGGGGGGGGGGGGAAGAAGGAAGGAAAATCTCCAATTTCAATGGATTAAGAATATTATTAATATAAGTATAATATTAATTATATCATTAGTAGTAGCAATAATAATAATAATAATAATAATAATAATAATAATAATAATAATAATACAAAGCCCCATGCAAAAGGGGGGGGGGTGTGTGCCATGCAGAAATCTCTTGCTATTTCTCCAAAGCAGGAACTCACCGGGAGGAATTTCAGGAGGCGAAGCGCTCGGGCAGCAAGCTGTCCTTGGAGACGAGTGGGTATCCCATGCTAGAGCTCCCAAAGCCTTGGAGGTTCTTCCCCCCCAAAAAATGGCAGCGAGGAGGGGCACGCCAGATACAGAGGTTGCTTTGGTTTTTCACACGGGACAGAGGCGGCCAAAGAAGCAGCGGAGAAACAGCAGCAGCAGCCTCAACCTGCGTTGGGTCCTGGCAGCCGGGCAAACGTGGCGTGGACGGAGTGGGTGGGCGGAAAAACAGGCGGAAAGAATGAATATATAATATCAAGGTTAGCGATGCGACTGGTCACGATGGAAGCAGCTCCAGGCGGGGAGGCTGTGGACAGCGTGCCAAAGGGGATCCCAGAAGGTGAGGCCAGGAGGAGGACGAGGTGTCTTAAGAGTCAAGACGAGCAGAGAAAGGCAGCTCTCCTTTTCTCTCCCTCTCTCTCGCCTCCTGTCTCCCGAGTGGGGAGATACCAAGAAGAGGAGGTGGAACGGGGAGGGCAAAAAGCAGCCTCCGGTCGGCTTTTGCTAAGCTCTGAGCATCCCCCTCCGCCTCCACACACTCCCCATCCCCAAGCCTGTGCTCCTTGTCTGGCTACTGTAGGCATGTCATAGGCACAGACGAGGAGGGGAGGAGGCTGACGAGCGAACGAACGACCCTCTCAGTGTTTTCGCCTTGACAGTGGCGTGGGTTTCATTAGTCCTCGTTCAAGGAACCGGAGGATAGCGCCCAAAGGCATCTTTCGGACTGCCTAAGGACCTGGGAGGACTTGGGTGTTGTGGAGTGGGCGAGTCAGAGGAAAGACCATTTGCCACAGTCACTCTGCATCCTTTGGGGAAGCCAGTGGGGAAGATGACACAGGAGGGGTGGGGTAGGGGAGTGGGAAAGGGGATGGGAGTACATGAGTTTCTTGGGAAGAGGAGGGAGGGAGGGATGCTCGTCTGCTCTGCCTGGGGCACCCACGTGACGTCTCAGCGTGGGTGTGGGGTCTGGCTGCTGGGGAAAGCAGGGGTGTCATGGGTCTCCCAACTCTCCTTTGCCTACCCCAGGCTGATTCTAGCTGCAGTCTGCGATTTATTTATTTATTTACTTTGCTTGTATACCGCAATTTCTCAGCCTTGTAGGTGACTCAAAGCGGTTTACAACAAGAGCAAAAGTCAATCCAACAGCATACAAAATTTAAAAACCATTAACAGCATAATATACAAAATGACACATCAATAACAACACATTAACGTGTCTCGTAACTAGAATCGTGATCCAATTCGTCTTCCATAGTTCCGTTTCCTATATTCATCGTGTACATTGCATTGTTTAACCGAACGCCTGTTCGAACAGCCAGGTTTTTAGTTTTCTTCGAAACACCATTAACGAAGGGGCTGATCTAATGTCCATGGGAAGGGCGTTCCACAGCCGAGGGGCCACCACAGAAAAGGCCCTGTCCCTCGTCCCCGCCAGCCGTGCCTGTGATGCAGGCGGGATCGAGAGCAGGGCCTCCCCAGAAGATCTTAGAGTCCTGGTGGGTTCATAAGCAGAGATACGTTCGGATAGGTAGCTTGGTCCAGAACTGTTTAGGGCTTTAAAGGCCAACGCCAGCACTTTGAATTGAGCCCGGTAGCAAATCGGCAGCCAGTGGATTCTGAAATGCCGCCTTGTATTGTCTGATTAGTCTGTGAAAGAGAGATGCTGAGGGCTAGGAAGGCATGTGGTGAGTCTCCCTCCTGCTCCTTTATTATTATTATTACTAGCCGTCCCCTGTCACGCATTGCTGTGGCCCTCGTGGGGGTTCTGTGTGGTAGGTTTGGCCCAATCCTATCATTGGTGGGTTTCAGAATGCTCTGTGATTGTAGGTATACTATAAATCCCAGCAACTACAACTCCCGGTGGTGCAGTGGGTTAAAGCACTGAGCTGCTGAGCTTGTTGACCGAAAGGTTGCAGGTTCAAATACGGGGAGTGGTGTGAGCTTCTGCTGTCAGCTCCAGCTTCTGCCAACCTTGCAGTTCAAAAGCATGCAAATGTGAGTAGATCAATAGGTACTGCTCTGGCGGGAAGGTAACGCGCTCCATGCAGTCATGCCGGCCACATGACCTTGGAGGTGTCTACAGACAACGCTGGCTCTTCGGCTTAGAAATGGAGATGAGCACCACACCCCAGAGTCAGACATGACTGGACTTAATTGCAGGGGACTACCTTTACCTTTACCTTACAACTCCCAAATGTCAAGATTATATTTTCCCCAAACTCCACCAGTGTTCACATTTGGGCATATTGAATATTCATGTAGAATCATAGAATCATAGAATCATAGAATCTAAGAGTTGGAAGAGACCTCATGGGCCATCCAGTCCAACCCCCTGCCAAGAAGCAGGAATATTGCATTCAAAGCACCCCTGACAGATGGCCATCCAGCCTCTGTTTAAAAGCTTCCAAAGAAGGAGCCTCCACCACACTCCGTGGGCAGAGAGTTCCACTGCTGAACGGCTCTCACAGTCAGGAAGTTCTTCCTCATGTTCAGATGGAATCTCCTCTCTTGTAGTTTGAAGCCATTGTTCCGCATCCTAGTCTCCAAAAATCATAGAATCATAGAATCTAAGAGTTGGAAGAGACCTCATGGGCCATCCAGTCCAACCCCCTGCCAGAAAGCAGGAATATTGCATTCAAATCACCCCTGACAGATGGCCATCCAGCCTCTGTTTAAAAGCTTCCAAAGAAGGAGCCTCCACCACACTCCGGGGCAGAGAGTTCCACTGCTGAACGGCTCTCACAGTCAGGAAGTTCTTCCTCATGTTCAGATGGAATCTCCTCTCTTGTAGTTTGAAGCCATTGTTCCGTGTCCTAGTCTCCAAGGAAGCAGAAAACAAGCTTGCTCCCTTCTCCCTGTGGCTTCCTCTCACATATTTATACATGGCTATCATATCCCCTCTCAGCCTTCTCTTCTTCAGGCTAAAATGCCCAGCTCCTTAAGCCGCTCCTCATAGGGCTTGTTCTCCAGACCCTTGATCATTTTAGTCGCCCTCCTCTGGACACATTCCAGCTTGTCAATCTCTCTCTTGAATTGTGGTGCCCAGAATTGGACACAATATTCCAGATGTGGTCTAACCAAGGCAGAATAGAGGGATAGCATGACTTCCCTGGACCTAGACACTGCTCCTATTGATGCAGGCCAAAATCCCATTGGCTTTTTTTTGCTGCCACATCGCATTGTTGGCTCATGTTTAACTTGTTGTCCACAAGGACTCCAAGATCTTTTTCACACGTTCTGCAATATGGCAAGGACCTAACAGAAGCTGAAAAGATCAAGAGAAGGTGGCGAGACTAAACAGAAGATCTGTATGGGAAGGATAATAATATTGAGGATAGTTTTGATGGTGTGGTGAATGTATTAGAACCAGACATCCTGAGGAGTGAGGTTGAATGGGCCTTAAGAAGCATTGCTAACAACAAGGCAGCAGGAGATGACGGGATCCCAGCTGAACTGTTTAAAATCTTAAAAGATGATGCTGTCAAGGTGATGCATGCCATTTGCCAGCAAATATGGAAAACACAAGAATGGCCATCAGACTGGAAAAAATCAACTTATATCCCCATACCAAAAAAGGGAAATGCGAAAGACTGCTCCAACTTCCGTACAGTGGCCCTTATTTCTCATGCCAGTAAGGTAATGCTCAAGATCCTGCAAGGAAGACTCCAGCAATACATGGAGCAAGAGTTGCCAGATGTTCAAGCTGGGTTTAGAAAAGGCAGAGGAACGAGAGACCAGATTGCCAATATCCTCTGGATAATGGAGAAAGGCAGGGAGTTTCAGAAAAACATCTATTTCTGCTTCATTGACTATTCTAAAGCCTTTGACTGTGTGGATCATAATAAATTGTGGCAAGTTCTTGGTGGGATGGGCATACCAAGCCACCTTGTCTCTCTCCTGAGGAATCTGTACAAGGACCAAGTAGCAACAGTAAGAACTGACCACGGAACAACAGACTGGTTCAAGATTGGGAAAGGCGTACGGCAAGGCTCCATACTCTCACCCAACCTTTTAAACTTGTATGCAGAACACATCATGCAATGTGCGGCGCTTGATGAATGCAAAGCTGGGGTGAAAATTGCTGGAAGAAACATTAACAACCTCAGATATGCAGATGACACCACTCTGATGGCCGAAAGTGAGGAGGAGCCTTCTAATCAAGGTGAAAGAAGAAAGCGCAAAAGCTGGGTTGCAGCTAAACAAAAAAAAAACCAAGATTATGGCAACAAGAATGATTGACAACTGGAAAATAGAGGGAGAAAATGTGGAGACCGTGACAGACTTTGTATTTCTAGGTGCAAAGATTACTGCAGATGCAGACTGTGGCCAGGAAATCAGAAGACGCTTACTTCTTGGGAGGAGAGCAATGTCCATTCTCGATAAAATAGTAAAGAGTAGAGACATCAGACTGGCAACAAAGATCCGCCTAGTCAAAGCCATGGTATTCCCTGTAGTAACCTACGGATGTGAGAGCTGGACCTTAGGGAAGGCTGAGCGAAGGAAGATAGATGCTTTTGAACTGTGGTGCTGGAGGAAAGTTCTTAGAGTGCCTTGGACTGCGAGAAGATCCAACCAGTCCATCCTCCAGGAAATAAAGCCCGACTGCTCATTGGAGGGAAGGATACTAGAGACGAAGTTGAAGTACTTTGGCCACATCATGAGGAGACAGCAAAGCCTGGAGAAGACAGTTATGCTGGGGAAGGTGGAGGGTAAAAGGAAGAGGGGCCGACCAAGGGCAAGATGGATGGATGGCATCCTTGAAGTGACTGGACTGACCTTGAAGGAGCTGGGGGTGGTGACGGCTGACAGGGAGCTCTGGCGTGGGCTGGTCCATGAGGTCACGAAGAGTCAGAGATGACTGAACGAATGAACAACAACTGCTCTCAAGCCAGGCATCCCCCATTCTGTATCTTTGCATTTCGTTTTTCTTGCCAAAGTGGAGTATCTTGCATTTGTCACTGTTGAACTTCATTTTGTTAGTTTGGGCCCTCTCTCTAATCTGTCAAGATTGTTTTGAATCCTGCTCCTGTCCTCTGGAGTATTGGCTATCCCTCCCAATTTGAGAGATGCTGAGGGCTAGGAAGGCATGTGGTGAGTCTCCCTCCTGCCCCTTTATTATTATTATTACTAGCCGTCCCCTGTCACGCGTTGCTGTGGCCCTCGTGGGAGTTCTGTGTGGTAGGTTTGGCCCAATTCTATCATTGGTGGGGTTCAGAATGCTCTGTGATTGTAGGTGAACTACAACAACTCCCAAATGTCAAGATTCTATTTTCCCCAAACTCCACCAGTGTTCACATTTGGGCATATTGAGTATTCATGTAGAGTTTGTCCAGATCCATCATTGTTTGAGTCCACAGTGATCTCTGGATGTAGGTGAACTACAACTCCAAACCAAGGACACTGCCCACCAAACCCTTCCAGTATTTTCTGTTGCTCATGGGAGAACTGCGTGCCAAGTTTGGCCCAATTCTATCATTGGTGGGGTTCAGAATGCGCTGTGATTGTAGGTAACTATAAATCCCAGCAACTACAACTCCCAAATGTCAAGATTCTATTTCCCCAAACTCCACCAGTGTTCACATTTGGGCATATTGAGTATTCATGTAGAGTTTGGTCCAGATCCATCATTGTTTGAGTCCACAGTGATCTCTGGATGTAGGTGAACTACAACTCCAAAACCAAAGGACACTGGCCATCAAACCCTTCCAGTATTTTCTGTTGGTCATGGGAGAACTGTGTGCCAAGTTTGGTTCAATTCCATCGTTGGTGGGGTTCAGAATGTGCTTTGATTGTAGGTGA